CTTAATTTCTCATTCACCAAAAAAGAATTCCACTTAAATAATCACTTAAATTGCCGAAGGTAACCTACAACTTAGTAGACCCTAACCCAAATTTACATTACATCGTTTAAAATATTTGAGAAAAGAACTAGCCCAATTACACTAGAAAATCTCGAAAAATTAGAACAGCAGCTTGAAGAAGATAAAAAAATAAGATGGAAAATGTGCCTTGGTGCCTTGGTAGAATGAAGCTGGACTTCTACCAATCCTAATCCTTGCCGCATGAAACAACAAAGCCCCCATTTGACAATCAATATTTGAAAACTTTTTTTTCGCATACTCATTTTTAACCACACATTTAAATAATAAAATATTTTACACGTAAACTCAAAACTTTTACCAATTTTTGTTTCCCAAATAATTACCATCAAACTTGGGTTAAGCACCACCACCAGCACCACCACCAGCACCACCTTCCCTTTCTACACATGTCGCCGTACCATGAAGCTTAGTTTGCAATGTTAGTTGAACATAGATGCTTGTTTTCCATGTATAAAATTTTCATCTTACGTGAAGATCAAGTATGTATACCGTACTCAAATTTTAGTAATCCTTAAAAATTCATGCTCAAACTGATGATAATATCTCGTTAGTCCCAATAAACTTTCGACTTTTGTTTGGATTGATGTTTGGGGCCATCCTAAAATTGCTTTAATTTTATTGGAATTTACCGTAATTCCTCATATTGTTGCTGTTTATTTTAAAAATGTCACTTGACCCTATCAATGTTTACACCCCTTGAATTTGGCACTGAACTAATAGGGGAATGCTTCTCTTAAGCATGTTCGATAAGGTTTGGAAAAACATGAAATTTACAATTATAGATAAATATAATACGTCAACAATTTCGCAACTTACTACATTTGTCATTGGCTTGTTGACCCAATTGACATCATTTGGCGAGGGAGGTGGGGTCACTAACCCAAATATATAATATTTTTAATTTTCATTTAAAAAAAATATATATTTTTAACTTTGTAGTTAAATTAGGTCCCACCGATTGTGAGACCTTGCTCCATCACTAATTGGCAAAACTCATTTGTTAGAATCGGACGTGTTCGGTAGATATTAAAATCAGATTAAAATTAAAAAAATAGTCGTTATTGAGTTACACTCATCTAATAATTGCAAATACCAAAATTTAAAATGGCTATCACAACTTGACTCAAAGGATCAGCGGGGATTAATTAATTATTAACATTCTACTAAGGAATTTTGGAATATTAAAAAATAAAAATTGAAATAGAACTTATTGAGAAATTATATTTTATCAAAGTCATATTTTCTTTTCGAGATTAGCTATTTAGGTGACTAGTTGAGTTATTGTGTTCATAGCTTTCTTCATAATAGTGCAAATGATCAATATAGTGAGACCAAAAAGCTATTAACGTATCCTTAACTCTTGAGTTGTAACATAATCTCTAAAACATTAATTGTTACATACAAAAGGAAAACAATTCCAACTCGACTAATTATGATGAGTTGGAGTTGTTCCGGCGATAAAGTTATCTTTAATAGGTAGTAATGATGATTTTCTTGGAATTATGAAAAGAATTGAATAAATCTTGAATTAGAATAACACCACGCTACACGTACATAATATTTTACATAATTATTTACATCGTGTCAAATGACGGCGCATCGTTGAACAGTTTCAAAAAAAGAAAATGAACGTACATATAGCATTATTGTTAAAACATTGGTACATGGTATTCATAGTCACTTCTTATCTTAAACGAGTGATGTGATATTTGGATGACTTAAATTGACTTGTCATCTTAATTGAATCTCAAGTGTGGGTTTTAAGAAGACAAATATTGCCCAGAAATCATTAGTTGCTTTGGGGAAAAGATTGCAGATTTTGGCTTGGCGAAGAGAGTTGGAAGAGAAAACGTGAGTGATTTTTGGTGTGAATTGAGGGGTACACCACTTCGGGTAAATCGAAGCCGAGAGATGTGTGTGAAGATTTGTCGTGTATTATCCAGTTGCTAACTTCTTTTCTTGTCTGGTTAAAATTGGGGCTTTTCCTACTTTGCTACTTACTTTCTTTCAACTGATCACTCATCTCTCGCTAAATCAAACGGCTAGGATTTATTCAACATAGATGGCGTGTATATCGTTGACCTGCAACACGCGAGAGTCCGTTTCTGGTGATCAGAGGTTTCCGGCAGTGGCGATGGAGGAGTATCGCTGTAGCTCTTGTCGTCATCATCCTCATCTCCAATCTTCGATTGGGAAGAACAGCGATGAGTCAGACGTCGAGGGGAAGAGGTACAGAGTGAATATAAAGGAGAGCATATGATGGGTTCGATGCTTTGGAGAAAGTTTTGCCTATAAGGTGCATGTTCTCCTTTTATTTTTTTGAGTTAATATTCATTTTTAATAAGTATTCCGTCCTAATTTGAAGAAATTATATTTGCTTTTAAATTAGAGTTTTTTACTTTTTTCATTTTTAATGTGTTTTAGGGTTTTCATTTGTTTCCTATTTGTTGTTTAATTGCAAGAAGAGTATCTTTGTACGAAAATAATGAACTTGTGCACGGCGAAGTTAAATAACAGTTACATACAAAAACAAAGTTAATGGATTTCTTTTTTCTTTATTATTATTATCATCATCATCTTGTCCATATGTCCAGGTTAACGGAAGTTTGTAATCAACATAGCTCGAAGCCACTGTAGTTGAACCTTTGTTTGAGATTGCTAGATAAAAGCTTGTTCAAGATCAGTTCAATAGCAAAACAAGTTGATGCTTCAACATTTTGACGTTTGTAGACTTCAGCGATAAGGAATTATATCTATCCTTTCCAACCGCACCTCTTATATCATCCTAATATTATGAAAAAAAGGTATTTGATTTTCATTGATTTGCATCAATTACAATAAGTAATTTCTAACTTATGATAGTTAGCTTAGGAATTCCTTTTGTATTTGTGTTTATATGTTGTTTTTGCATCAATTACAATAAGTAATTTCCAACTTATGATAGTTAGCTTAGGAATTCCTTTTGCATTTATTTTATATGTTGTTTATCCAATAATTTATATTGGCTTGTTTCAGGAACGGCATAGCTAAGTTCTACTGTGAAAAATCCAAATCTTTTACCAGCCTGTCTTCCATTAAAGATATTGGTAAGCCTAATTGATGCACTTCTAGAGTTGGCAGGTCTTTTTGATATCCCGCCATTGTTACTTCTTAAAGTACTATTACGATTCTTGTCCCAAAAAGTTATCGTAGGCAAGCAAATTCTTTCGCTTCCTGGTGTATGCATCATCATTAACTC